ACCTCCACTGCTGCCTCTCTGGCCTTTCTTCCTCTCTGCACCCATGAAATGGGTCCTCTCTGCTGAAGTCAACCTACCACCCTTAGCAGCAGGTTAAAGGGGGTGGCGGCAGCTGGGGATGTGGACTCAAAGAAACCGAGGGCTCAAGGGAGTGATCCGGCTAGGGTCCAGCAGACTCAAGAAAGGAAGAGGAACAAAAGCACTAGGCTCAAAGGGGGCCAGGGATGTGGGGACCTGGAGGAGAGGTGGAGGGAGGAGGAAGAAGCTTTCAAAGAGAGCATGAGAGTAATGAGTTATTCCAGTGTGGTGAGCTTGGAAAAACTCCACTGAATCTTTAAACAACCCTTGTCAATTATTCATCTCCTGGTATGAGGGCCTTCTGGTCTGCCACAAATCTCCTCTGAGCAAGGCAGAGAGAGGGAGGGAAGCAGAGGAGTCAGACACACACACACACACACACACACACACACACTCACACACACACACACACAGCACTTCTGCCTCTGTTTATCCAAAGCGTAGCCCGCCCCCTCCAGGAAGCCTTCCTGGCTCCTCTCTCTCTCACTTATTGAGGGCTTACTAGATGTGCTCAGCAATGCTGGGTAAGTGTGATAGTAAGAAGAATACATTGTCTCAGCCATTCCCCTTCGCCTGTTCATCCCTCACCTAATATTTACTGTGTACATACTCTGTGCCACTAATTGTCCCCTGGGGTGTGGCTTGCTCCTCTCTGCTGCGGAATTTCCAGAGCACAGGGCATCGGCCTCTCCCTTCTCCTTGCCCCTCTGCAGCTGCACAGCTGGGCACTGGGCTGGGCAGCTGGGAAGGTGGGAGCTCTGGGTTTCTGACTGGTTGGAGGAATGGGGAACCCAGGCACATGGTAGGTGTCTCATAAGCCCTTTGTGAGGGGAACTGGGCCCATCTAGGAACTACATGGAGCCCCTTCAGCTTACCCGCTGCTACCCTGGTGTCAGGAGACACGGTCTGGCTCAGTGTGAGGTGGGCTCAGGGTGTCTAGAGAGAGCAGGGGAAATGCTCACAAGTTGTTTAATGTTTGCAGAGTTGCCATGTTCAGGATGACCCTTAGCATCTCATCCTTTACACTTGCTTAAAAGCCCGCTTCTTCCAAAAAGACTTCCTGGGCTGCTCACGTAGGAGGAAAAGGCTTTCTCTACCTCTGCTTGAAGCCCTACACCTGGCCCCAAAGCACACCCATGGTACCATGACCTCAGGAGGCCCACCCAGAATTGGAGCTTTGCACCACGTTGACAAATGGGCACTTGAAAGACTTCTGTAAAACCAGGTGTACGAAGACACCTGGGAAGAAATGGCTGGGTTGCAACCAGGGAATGAGGGCAGATCAAAGGGCACACTAAGGGGTGGGGGCCCCAGTAGGGCTCGGTGTGCTGTGGGGGTGGTCCTGGCCGGCCCCAGGACAGCAGGGACTACCACACAGAAAGGCATGGACCTCATCCCCTCTGCTCCCTCCTCTATTCCCAAGGTGCTCCTTTCCCCAGAAAATGTTCAATTTCCTAAGACAAAATTGTTTCTTGGGCTCTGGGGAATGCACGATGAGACCAGACATAGAAAAACGCACTCTGGAAATCAGGTGATGCTGAGAGGCTCACAGCTAGAGGCAATGGCTGAGCACCGCTTGGTCACTGCACACCACTGCCATCTCACTGGGGCCCATCACTTCACCCCAGGCTCTGCTGCTGCTGATCACCCCCTGACCACCAGTCCAGGAGTCACAGACCTTATGACTGTGCCATTGCTACACAAATGTGTCCCAGTGCTATTGAAGTATCTGCTACTGCTCTGTGACTCTGTCTACGGCTTACACACTATGTCCGATGCTCGTTGCTGTGATTGCGTCCTCCTGAGGTGTAGTGCTGTGTGACATCATTCCGTGGCTCAGGTCTATTGCTATGCAACTACACTCCGCTGTTTGTGGCCACATTCTATTGCTTGTCTCTGTGCCTCTCGGTTGCAGGAGTTCACCCACTGCTATGTAATTTTGTTTGGTTGCTATGGAACAGTGACCAATAGCTACACAGCTACCCATGATTGTCATGGAGCTATACACTGTTGCTACCCGCTCATGTTCTATTGTTTGTAACTGGGCTGTACTGGCCATGAAAATGTGTGTGCCTGGGTCCTGCCCTGATCCTTCCAGGCTCTGGCCAGTGGGTAGGAGCTGGAGCTGGGAAATGGGTCTCTAGGACCCAATTAGTACAATGTGACAAAGGTGGGAATTGCCAGCATGGTAAATATAGGGGGAGAGAGAGAGAAATGATGAGTTGGGGGACCATACCAGGGTGGGAGCCAAAAGCCAGGAACAAAGCAGAGGACAGACATGGGACAGACTGGGATGGGCAAGGGAGAGGAGCAGGCCCACTGCCCTCAGTACTCTGTGAGTGTCAGAGGGACCCAGTGGTGCCAGGTTCGATGAAGGGTCCGGGGCTGAGCATGCTAGGCTCTGTAGGCAACCAGTATTGCCTTGACTAGATGCAAGTTAGCATGGGATAGTGAGGTCAGAAGGTCTTGGGAAGGTGTTGTCCCACCTGTGGGCCACCTCATTGCCACCCTTTGTAAAATGAGGGGACCAGTCTGGATGCTAAGGTTCTTTCTGATGCTCTTGCTATCCAGGGGTTCTATTACATTGGCCAACAAGCATTTACCAATGTGTTGGGCCAGGTCTGGGCAGGGTCCTGGAGCCCAGAGATGAGGAAGCCAGTGTGCTCTTTAGTTCAAAGGCTAGATGGTGGTGTCTGAGTAGACCTAAGCCAATGGCAAACCAGGGCTAGCAGCCAGTCCTGTGGCCTCAGCAGGAGTCCAGCAAGAGGGAGGGTGGAGGGACCAGGGAGCCCTCTCTCTGGGTACATGGCCCATGATGGGAGTGTTGGGGGTGGTGTCCAGGTGGGCATGCTTGAGTTAGTTCTCCCTTAGACCCAAATCACAACATCTCACAGTCTGCAAGCATGGGGCAGCCCTGAGCCCCCTGTTGTCACTCAGAGCCTCCTGTCTTAGTGCCCTTGGGCCAATTCTTTCCTCCCTTTTGTCACTTTGTCCCTTTGTCTTGCTCAAAAACAGTTCCTCCTAGGGCTAAACTTGACATCTCAAACTGTAGTCTAATCCTATCTCTTTTGGCTTAATCCTGAAGAGAAATTCAAGACTCACTAGCCCACTGCCCTCATTATTATAATATTCTCTCAGATATTAAAAAAATTGTTTAAATTGCCCACCTATCTGATCCATTCTATATTTAAAGACCCCTTCCTCCTCAGCTGCATTCTTTCTCCATCTCTCCCCCATTACCATCATCATCACATTTTATAAGCACAACGAAGATTCCAATCCAACCCATGTCAATCTGTTCTATGTCTCACCTTCCCCAAATAAATCCATAGTATTAAGATATTTATATCTAATCTCTCGCAAATAATCCAAACCCTCAGACTTGTTGACCTCAACTCAGACCTTAGATTCTTTACACAGCAGGTTCCAAAGCAGGGGGTCCCTGCCAGGCTCAGTACCAGGAGTTGGGGCTGGGTACTGCTCCCCCCTTGGTCACACTATTTCTGGTGCCCAGGTGGCTGACATGAGAGGCTTGTCCAGTCAGGCAGCATTTGAGGCCCCTGCTCCCAGAGGTGGTGGGATGTAGGGGCTGAGGTCTGCAGCCTGAGATCAGGGTAGGGGCTGAACCAGGTGAGGGCTGAGGCTTGGCTGGGCCATCCCCAAGAGGCTGAACTGGAGGGGTGAGGGAAGGGAGGCTGCTCTGAGCTCTCTGCAGGGTTGGGACCAGGGAGGATGCCTTTGCCTTTCTCTTTCCTTCCCATCTGCCACTCGCTTTGATGACATCCTCCCTTTCCTCTCTTCCCTCCCTTCCCTCGGCTGTTTACCTCCCCTTTTCTCTCCTTTATGCACAAGAAAGGGGATTCCATGGCCAGGCTGTGGGTGTCATCAGTAACTGGTCTATTCATGCTGCCCCAAATCTCCAAAGATCTGTATCTTTATTTTCAATGCAATTTATGGCTGAGCTGGAGGTTGCTCCTGAAAGCTGTTTTTCCAAGGAGCAGAGGTGACAGAAGGGAGCTGTGGAAGATGGCCCAAGAGTGCAGGGGTGCCTGACAGGGAGGGCCTACTCCTGGTGGTCACACCCAGCAGACAGCAGCCCTTCCTACTCGTCTGATGGGACATGTTCCAGAAAAGTGCAGAAGTGCCCGGGGAAGATGAGGAGGCTGTCAGTGGAGAGGGACAGGTCCCGAGAAAAGGATGTCCTGGGCTTCCCTATGGGCCAGTGGCCTTGTCTGGGGCCTTTTCTCATGACCTTCCAGAGCAGCGTTCCCCATGGGATTCGCTGTGGAAGAAGGGAGGAAGCCACACATGAATTCACCCACGGTCTTTGGGGTGGTACTTCAATTGGGGACTTTGACTAGACCGTCTTTTTGGTGGCCTGTTCTTTAGCTGTCTGCATCAAGGGATGAGACTCAGCACTGACCCCTCACCAAATAAGACACCACTTGGGCCACCTTCACCAACCCTTTCCCAGCATCTGGTCAACTGGCAATGGGAAGACATGCCAGCTCCCATGGTCAAGGACATAGACTCTGTGAGCAGAAATGGTGCCCTCTTTTCTTTCAGCCCTAATTTCCCTTTTATAAGTGAAAACTAATCTCTTAGGGGTGCTTCCCCCTACCTGGTGGACATGCTTCTAGGAAGTTCTGAGCTGTTTACTGCTCAAATCAATGGAACCCTGCTTATAAGTGTTGCAGGGGTTTGCTTAGAAAGAAATCATACAGGAGTTCCAGTCAAAGATGAAGAGACTCTGCACAGTGAAGAATCCACACCTTTCACCAGTTTGTCTTTGGGATAACTCACATACAGAGTATACCTAAGGGGAGGTCTACCTGCTGCCTGAGGAGGGACCAGTCCCACAGGGGGCAACCATGGCCCCATCCCAGCTCTGAACCTTCCCTTACCCCCGGGGAGAGACTCACCATATCATGGTACGTATCTAGCACCTGGACCTCCTCCTCTGCTCCCTGAGAGGTGGAAGTGCTGGAGTCCATTGTGGAGCTCACTGTGGCCTTGGACCAGGACTCACGGATGGGACCCAGCTTCTCATCCAGGATCTTGGGGTCCAGGGTGGGCAGAATCTTGCTGTTGTTTGGTGTCAAGAAGCTTTCTGGCCTCTGAGAAGAGAAGGTGCGGAGAAACTTTCTCTGAGCCTCTCTACCACAAGCACACTTTTGACAGCCCAAGCCTCCCTTCCTTGTGGCTCAGGAAGCCCTGCTTGCCTGGCCCCTGTATACCTCCTGCCACCTGCCCCTTGTTCACTGGGCCCCAACCACACTGTCTTTGCTGTTCCTCCAACAAGCCAAACTCTTTCCTCCAACAGCATCTGCTGTTCTGTCTACATGGAGGGCCTTATGGATATTTATATGGCTGTTCCCTTCTCATCGTTCAGGTCTCAGCCCAGAGTTGCCTTTCTCAGACAGACCCTGCCTCTTGAGATAGAGGCCTACTCTATCCTTAGTAACCCTACTTCTATTATACTCTATCCACATTATCCCACTTTTACTGTGTTCATAGTACTTACTCTACCAGAAAATTTTCAAAAAAGTGGGGTTATTGTTAATTGCCTCCCTCCTCCAGTGCCCACACTAGGATATAATTTCTAGGTAAGCAGACCTGGTTTATTCCTACTGTCTGGTGCATTGTAGGTGCTCAACAAATACCTGTTGAAAGAATAAATAAACTATGCCATCTATGACCCCCACACTCTGTGCACTAACGAGTTTCTAAAATCCACACTCTTTTGACACACTTCGATGTGTAGCCTTATATTCCATGTCATCTCCTCTATCATCCTCCAATCTTACCACCCATTAAAGTCTCTTCTTCCTGTATATTCTGATGGGCCCCTTTCTCCTTCCATGTTCTTTTTCCTGTTCTCTGCCTTTTCTCTTGACATGCCTATCGCTCTCGACTCTGCTTGTCTAAAATCCAGCCCCACTCAAATACCAGCACCCCCAGGAAGGCTTAATGCTGCAGCCTACATTTGCTTGCAGCTTTTCTGGGTTCCTCCAGCCCAGCAGTTGGCTATCTGTGCTTTCACACTACTCTGTAATTCCAGACTTGCTTGCTATTTTTGTTTTTCAAACAAAACTTTAAGTTTCTTGGGCTTGGGAAAAATGTCTGTACTCCCTTTGGGGAGAGGTTACCTTAACACTCTGTTTGAAATCCATGGTTATCGCTAAAATGTGCCCATTGTTTGAAGAATCATGCAGTCTCAGGGTTTGTAGGGACCTCACATATGACCCTGTCCCATCCGCATCAACTGTTGGAATCCTCTCTTGGCCATAGCAGACAAATTATTCCACTGTCTAGAGTGTTGTGCTAGGAGCAAATAGAGCAATGGGCATGGCACAGTGCCAACCAGGACAGATGTGCCCAGGGTTAGAGGTGCCCAAATGTCTGACCCTGGACAACTAGAGTGATAGTGAGTTCAGGTGGACCTCTCTTTAAGTGGATGCTCTGTATGAAAATTCACACCTATGTGCTAGATGAATCAGGGCAAGGATGCTTTATCACCGGGATCCTTTAAATGATTCTTTTATGCCCTTTTCAAGTAAAATTTGGCATGCAGAAATTAATTATGATAAAGTCTTCTCAGGCTTGTGTCAGTAGAGTAAGGGACAGTTATACAACTACATGAAAGCATCCAGTCCAGTTGAGACCCCATATCCCCTGTGCCAAATGGGTACAAAAGCAGATAATTCTAAAGAGAAAACAGCTACACCAAGACTTTTGAAATGGGGAGGGTGAGGCACTGGGTGACCCTGAGACGAACTTTGGCAGGCCACATATTGTACTTCCTGACAAAGGCTTCTGGGCCTGTGGGCATCAGGCTGACTGTCTCTCACTTGCTCCTCCTGGTAGTTAAGGCAGGATTCACTCGGAGACTCCCCACCTACATGAAGCCTTCTATCCCATGAATACACCCAGTGCCTCTGTGTAGCATCTGAGTCAGATGGTTTGGGGTTTTCTGTTTGTGTATTTTAGATAGGAAAATGTACCATATCAGTCTCCTGCTCAGAACAGCTGAACACCAGATTGGCTGCAGAGGGAGAGCTACAGAATGCATACTGGGTGGAAGTATGTATAGATGCAGGAGAAAATGAAGGAAAGAATAACTAGCCAGGGCAAAGACCAACTCCCCATTGACCAGGTGGCCCCTGGGGCTGGGGTGAGATGCTGATTCAGGACCCGGTAATGACATTTCTCCTCATTTCCAGGCAGAAAGCCAATCTCGATGCCCTGGATTTCATAGACTGCCATCTAATCCAGTTAGAAGAGGAAGTAGAAGTAATGAAATCAAGGGGGAGGTCTCCAGAGGTGCCCCCATCAGTACTGAATGCAGGGAGAATTGCTGAGGGCATTCTCTCCCCACAGCCTGTCTCCCTGACATCCACCCTGAGTGGCTCCAGCACTAGCTGGGTCAACTCAGTGATCCAGGGCTGACATTTACTGAAATCCCAGTCAGAGCTGGGCACTCACCAGGTATCTTTATGTGGATTCTGAAATTTACTATGTATAATTCATTTGATTTCATCACAAAGCTAAAATTAAAAAATGAGACCAATCCCTCAGTGCAGACTAGTGCCTTCACTTCTTCAGTCTCTGGTGGGCAGTGGGGTGTTCTGAGAAGGAGAGAAGAAAAGGCAGAGTACCTATGGACTTTATGTCTGTTTTGCCCACTCTGCTGCCCCCAACTGCCCTTCCTGAAGTCCCTGCCAGACTCCGTGGTTCTGCTCTGCCCTGCCGCATGACTGGCCCTGGCTGAGATCTGCTCCCACGGCTGTTTAAGGCCTGGCCTTGCCTTGCTCTCCCTCTTTCCTCCAGGTGGGGTGGGTGCCGCTGGCCCACCCCACAAGCTGCTTATTTGCTTTTCTATTTGGCAGTCCATGCCCTGCCTGCTGGGGCAGCTTGGGGCTGACAAGTGGCCCCTTGCTCTGTGGCTCCGTGGCTGCAGCACATCCTGCTTTGTTAGGGCTATAATTGGAGACTGACTTTGAAAGCTCAAAGCGATGTATGGCCACACACTAGCTCAGACTCAGCTCTTAGCTCATTGTGCCCTGTGCTGCTAAAGCTGCCCGCATCACATGTGAGTGCCAACACGGTGGGGAGAAGACACCCCTTCCTCATGACTTGCAGTCCTCACTGTAGTCAGCAGAGCAGGATCTGCTGAGACAGATAAAGCCAACGGTATCACAGGCTTGGGGCTTCTTAGGTCACCTGTCTCCCTCCTCCCCACAACATCCTCTGCCTCCCTCCCACCCAGTCGATCCCCTAGATCCCTGATCATGCAAAATGCAACAGTTCCAGCCTGCCCTGGTAATTGCAGACTAGCCAGGCTGCAGCTGCTGTCCTCGGTGCTGAAAGCGCCCGCCTTCAGGCCGGCCCTCCTCTTACCCCTCCCTGAGCCTTCTTGCTGGAGCACACATGCTCTTAATTCAATTAGCTGGTCCTGAACCCTCCCCAGGGAGCCTGGAGCGGAAACTGACAAATTCTGTTTAACAAAGACATTTGTCCCCCGCCCCGCCGGCTTTGGGCTCTGCCCGCCTGTATCCCGCTCATTAGGTATCTAACAAAGTGCATCCCAAGAAATCTGCTTCCAATCGCTAGTAATTCAGGAGGCCTGATGCAATTTTCTCCCTGATAAGGGTGTCTCGCCCGCTGGCAAGCGCTGTAATGAGCCCCGTGCAGCGGCTCCCGATCAGTTACTGCTTTGTCATTTCCTGTGGCCTCAGTTGTAGGTTCTTATCTCTTCAGCTGTAGGCGAGGTTCAGACAACGGGCCCCTCTGAGAGGGCTGGCTGCCTCCCCTGCATATCGCGAGCCTCATTTATGGCATCCCGCATGGTCTTGCAGCTGCAATGGGGTTTGAAGATCCCAGTCTATCTTCTAGCCAAGAAGGGCCTGAGTGTTAATCCTCCATGGGGACATAATTCATTTCCCAGAAAATGGTTTCAGAGGGTTAATCCAAAAGCAAGCTATAGGGTTAGGGGAGGGGAGCCATTGATAAGAATTTTTATAAATTTTGTCAGGGATGTTAGTACTAAATAGAGCCTTGCCTGTGGCTCAGTGGATGGGCTGCGGGCTCACTCTTGTTAGCCTGACACCTGCTCTTTGTGTATTTAATGTTTCCCCTTGGGTTCTCCCTATTCACACCTAGAGCGACACTTTCATAGGTGAGATCACATCCTGCTGCTGCTCAAAGACCTCCTTAGCTTCCCATCACTTTACTTTTTAATTTTTATTTTTAAATTTAATGTTATTATTTTTTAAATTCTATGATGTTGCAGAGCAGTTGGGAGAGGGGGGGAGAGGGGAAGGGAGAAGAAAATGGGATGGAAGAAGGAGAAGAGGTGGGATTGAGGCCTGTGACACCCCTCTCATTCCCACAGGGGAGACTGGGGGCTTCCAGTGGTGGCTTGGATGTTGCCAGGCTGGGTGAAGATGACGGAGGGTGTGGCAAAAGCCCTCGCCCCCCAGCACCCCAGCTCATGAACCCAGGGCTCGTCTTGCTGTGGCTTGGTGTTCATTGCTGGGCTGGTTGCACATGTTGGGGTGGCAAGGCTAAGGCTCTTTGGCCCCCCACCTCCCCAGCTCAGGAAAGCCCAGGGCGCTTCCTGTGGCCGCTTGGTGGTCATTGCTGGGCTGGTTGTGTGTGTCAGGGGGTGTGGCCGGAGCCCAAGGCCCCTGCCCCTGGGATGGGTTGCATGTGTCGGGGGCATGGCTGAGGCCCCCAGCCCTTCCCCCTTTCTGGCTTGGTAGCCCAAGGGACTTCCAGTCCTTCTAGGTGTTAATAGGTGTTCTTTGATGAAATGAGACCTTTACTAATTAATATCAAACTTTGTCTCTGTTTGTGGGTACTTTGTTTTTTCTCTCAGTTCTGTGTCATATTATTTGCTGTTCCCACCACTTAAACTCTTTGCTGGAACTAATTTGATGTCCTTTGCTTACTTCTAAAATATGAGAACTTCCTGTGAGGACCAGTATTTGAGCTGTGTGGTTGAGCTAAATTGCTGCTTTGCTGCTGATTCCCTAGGGAAGGCTTTTTGTGCAGCTCACGTTTTAATGGTTGACTTTATAGGTACTTCTGGTCTTGTGAGATCTGGTGCACCTGG